GCCTATGAGTTAAATTATAACAATATGAGTCAAAATGACAGGTCATAGTATTATGATTGTAAGGCAGCCATAGTGATATGACCGTCCGGTCATAATATTATGACTAAAATGGCCCATAGTGTTATGACTGGCACACTGTAACTGCCTTATGACCAGCCACTACACAGTGGTATGACTGACCATTTCTAATGACTCGATGACGACTAGGAGTAATTGCATGTTGATTAACAGTTATTGTTTTTGAAATTATTTAAGAATGACAGTTGGATTGAACGTCTTCATCAAGTACAATGGATATTAGGACTGTACTTTGAGATACGTCGGTTGTGAAATGAAGGGGATATTGGTCCCCACCAACACAACTTATATTCATCTTATAGATTTGGTGAGAAATGTGCTTGGGATTCGGCCACAAGGATAAAGTTTGTCCTTAAGATACGTTGTTGAAGACGGAGAAGCTCCTGTGAAGATATCGTCTGACTATGATGTCACATTCTATCAACGACATCTCTTCCTCTAAAGCCTTTCTTTTCTTCTAAGATAGCAAAAAATGGTAAAAAAAAAACAAAAACAAAAACAAAAAACAAAAAAAAAACAAGAAAACCAAACAAATTTGTTAAGCAAAGTACTATGACTGACACACTAAGAGTCTGACCATTGAGTGGTCTTAGTACTATGATCGACGGTCATAATTCTATGACCGCCCATCATGTAAGCTCGCTCTTAGTGTTATGACTGATGATCAGTCATAAGATAGTCACATAGTACGGTCACAGTACTGTGACCAACTGTCATAATACTATAATCGCAGGCTCATCAGTCAGGCAGTCACACTATGAGCATGCTTGCATGATGGCCGGTCATAGAATTATGACCATCGGTCATAGTACTTTGACCGCATGCTGTGCCTGTCTTATGACCGGTCATAATACAATTACTGACAGGTCATAATGATATGATCGGCCATCAGGCAAAGTCACAGACCAAATAAGGAGCACAATGACAATAAAAAATTTCAAATAACTGACCTTATCTATGTTTATCTCTTCCTCCAAAACCTTTCTTTCCATCTAAGACGACAACAAATGGTAAAAGAAAAAAAAAACAATAAATACCTAAGAAAAAAACAAATAAACAAGGAAAGCCAACAAAGTTTTCACCTTTGTCTCGGAATCCGCCATTGACCTCGTCTGTTTCGTGATTGATTTCTCCGGCAAAGAATTTTAGGAGGGTGAGGTTTCCTCGGTTCGTGCTTCTGAGTTAGGCGTTGATTTCACCGGCAAAGGTTCGTGGGTTCTTGTCGCGTGATTCAGGGTTTGTGTGTTCTCATTGTGTGGGTACTCACTGTCGTGGGTTCTCGCTGTCGTGTGTTCATCGGTGCTCAAGGTGGTAGACAGTGGTAGACGGTGGTGGTCATTGGGGTTTCTTGGTCTCTGTACACACCTGCATATGTTCTCCTCCTCCTCTCTCTACTTTGAATATTTGAATTATAAAGGGCTTCATAATATATATTCAAGGCTTTAAAGCTGAAATGAGACACAATTGTCATTTTCACTCAAGTAAAAATGGTATGGTCCTAATTTTTGTTGACATGGCGATGCTAATTGTGAAAGTATACAAAAGTTGTGCTAAAATTAATAATCATTTATTCATGAGTGCTATTATTGAATTAACCCTTAAATTAATTAGCAACCACTAAATAGGAAGACATATGGAGAGCGAAGCACAGTCAAGACCCTAGAACTCTATTATTATTTTTATTTTCACTCATAGTTTCGATATTTAGTTAATAAGATCTTGTGTTCTAGCTTTAATAGTTAAATTAATTTACTTTTCTTGCTTCAATTACTTAATTCACTCCTAAATAAAATTTAGTCACGAACACTTACGGTACTTAGTTTAATTCCTGTAAATTCAATCCTTATGGGGACGATATTCGACTTTTTAGTCATTTTATTACTTTCGCGACCCGTGCACTTGTGGAAAATTTTACAACAATCATAGAGAATTCGGGCTCCTCTTTTTTGTTGCATCAAATTGAGTTCTGTAACATCTTAGCCCAACGTTTTCAGGTAACTACTCTTCTTCAACTAGCTTTTTTAGATGTTCAACTTGGCTACTTTGGACATATTTCCTTATTTCCTACAAAATAATACTGTGTTGTTATTTTTGTCATTTTCCTTTGATCTACCAATGAGGAAATGCAAGAAATGAAAGTAAAGTGGCTAGCATACCAAAATGTGTTGATGCTTCAGTTTTTCCTTTTAGCTCATTGCACGGGAAGTTGCGTTTTACATATGCACTTGGATCAAAAATGTAGTTTTTTTTTTCTTCTGTTGAAATTTGGATCATAGAACTAGTTTCTTCTGTTGTGGATTTAAATCAAGCAATAACAGCAATATGAAGAAAGCACCTCTTACGTTGTAGGGAAGTTTATTCCTAGATACTCAGTTGAAAAAAAATAAAAAAAAATAAAAAAATAAAAAAATAAAACACTGCCGATGGGACTATACTCTAAAATCACAATTGCTTCTCTCGCAAATTCCGAATGAAGCTCGTGGACACTTAGGTCCCGTTCATTTAACTGATTCGAATTTAGAATTCGAGTTTTGCTACAGTAAAAAGCTCTTAAAAACAATCACATTTAATTTTTTTATTACAGTAAAAAGCTCTCACATAAAGTCACATCTCAACTCGAATTAAAAGCTAAAATCAACGAACTAAACGAGTTATTGATAAAAGCTCAAGGCACTATAATTATCAACTCATCAGTGGAGTAATCTGGTAACTCATGAAAGTTTAAATTGACAAGTGTAATGTAGTTGCCTCGCTTTTCTTTATTAATTGTGTTCCAAATTGTATATAAACGCTAATGTTCAGGTTTATTAGAATGTGCGAATCTGAGATGTGATTACAAGGAGACTTTTATAATTTTGGATTGACATTTTCACTGCTGAAATTCAGATGACATCATCAGATCAATCCACCATTCACCGCCGTTTTTCTCTTTTGTTCTTTGTAGATTCATGTCATAGTAATAACGTCTATCCAAAATTTTTTCAAAGAGGTAAACTATCTCTTGTTTTTCATTTGTTTTTTTTTTTTTTTTTTTTTTTTTTTTTTTTTTTTTTTTTTTGGATGATGAAGTTCCAACATCTTATATGTATAATATTTACCCCATGTGAGTAGATAACATATTTAAATGTGGCGACAAAATCAATACCCAAAATTATTATGATTTAGTCAACTTTCCTTGCAAGTTGTAGGTGCATCATTATCAACTGCAGGTTTCAAAATTTTCATTCTAACAAGTTTGCGGTTGCATTGAAAAATTACAAATGAAATATTAAATATATACAGACTAGTTATAATTTATGTGTGCGTTTCTTTTTTGAACAAATATCCACTCATTTTTTATTAGTTGCCAAAAAAAATCGTGAAAACCTTCATTAAAACCCACACCAGGAAACTCAAACCATCGAGAAATCATACATTTTCTATAGTCTGTTACTTAATGTCTCACTTAGACATTAATGACCTTTTTTTGTATAAAGTCATTCATCAACTAGTGTTTTTTTTTTTTTTTTTTTTTTTTTTTTTAAAATTTTTTTTCAAATATTTTTTTTTTTTTTTTTTTTTTTTTTTTTTTTTTTTTGTGCCGATAAGGTTCCAACTCATTCTAGCGGTAAAATATTCACACTATGCGAGTAGATACAATATTTCAATGTGGCAGCACAATCAAATAGCAAAAAATATTCACACTATGTGATTAGATACCATGCAAGTTGCACCATCATATTAAACAAATTCAAAGAAGACTTTTTCTTACTTTTTTGTTTATTTATATAATATAAAGAAAATTAAAGAAGAATTTTTTTTTATTATTATTTATTAGGGCTGCCGTATTAGCAAGAAATTTTCCTCTTTTTTTCCCCGATCCTCTTGGATTAGAGCTAGCCTTAATATTATTTAATATCTCTAATCAGAGCTCCTAACTCCTACATCCATTTTTATGTCCAGATCTTTCACAAGCAATTCCTCTATTGTCACTGAATCGTTCACAGAGAGAAGTATAGTGCCGTTGTGAAAATAGCTCCGAATCTGAGTATGGCTGAAGCTCTAGTCTCATTACTCATTGAGCATTTCGGTTCCATGGCTCTTGAGCGGATTGAAGAGGAAGTGAGGCTGGTCAAAGGTGTGGATGAAGATGTTGCGAACCTCAAGACAAATCTTGAGGACATTCAAGCAGTGCTTGAGGATGCTGAGTAGAAGCAACTGAACGATGCGAGTCTAAAGAGATGGTTGGATAAGCTCAACAATGCGACGCACGGCATCGATGATGTTCTGGACGAGTGGAACACTGCCATTCTTGAATTCAAAATCAAGAAAGAAGAGGAAGCTGAAAACAATGCTTCTTCATCAAACAAGAAGGTGTGTTTTCCTATGCCCTCTTTTTGCTTCTGTTTTACCAGAGTTAAACGACTTACTTTGCGTCGTGACATTGCTCTCAAAATCAAAGAACTGAACCAAGACCTGGATAGGATTGCCAAAGATAAAGATAAATACAATCTTAACATAAAGAGGATCGTTGAACGACCTGAGCATCGACAGACTACTTTCCTTATTGATGAAACCAAAGTTCAAGGTCGAGATGAGGATAAGAGTCTGTTAATAAGCAAATTGTTGAGTGAGAGCAGTGATGATGAGAGACGCCTTGATATCATCCCCATTGTGGGGATGGGCGGTCTCGGAAAAACTACTCTTGCCCAGCTAGCTTATAATGATGAGACGATTAAGACCCACTTTGATAAGCGAATTTGGGTGTGCGTCTCAGATCCTTTCGAGGAGGTCAAGATTGCGGAAAGAGATTTCTTCTCGTCCTGGATGATGTATGGCTTGAAGATTACAGTAGATGGGAAACTTTACATGTAGCTCTTCAAAATGGTGCTATAGGGAGTACGATACTGGTGACCACCCGAAAGCAAGAGGTTTCGATCATGATGGGGGCAGCCACACACCAGATTAGTCTGGAAAGATTGTCTGAAGAGCATTGTTGGTTAATTTTTAGCCAATTGGCATTCATGGAAAGAACAACAGAGGAGTGCGCAGAATTAGAAAATATTGGTAGGCAAATTGCAAGAAAATCAAGTGGCTTGCCCCTTGTTGCTAAAACTTTAGGGAGTCTCATGCGCTTTAGAAAGACCATAAGTCAATGGGAGGACATTTTGTGCAGTGAACTGTGGGAGTCGAAAGATGTTAAAGTTAGGGAAATTTTTGCTCCATTTCTGCTTAGTTATTACGATCTAACTCCTCTCCAAAAACGTTGTTTTTTATATTGTTCGGTATTTCCTAAAGATTATAATATTGGAAGAGATGACTTGATCGAGATGTGGATGTCACAAGGTTATTTAAGTCAAACAATAAATTCCAAGAAAGAAGGTCGAGATTGTTTTGAAAGTTTAGCTATGCGGTCATTTTTTCAAGATTTCAAAGAGGATGAATTCTATGGATCCATTAAATGCAACATGCATGACATAGTTCATGACTTTGCTCAATTTTTTATGGGTAGTGAATACGTTCTGATAGAAGTTGATGGTATTGAAGAGAATAAAAAGGAAGTAGATGAAAGCACTCGTCACTTGACCTTAGTGGTTGGATCTGAAGACCGTTTTCTTACCCTAAGGCACAATGCAAAGAATTTGCGCACAATTTACATTTACTCAAACACCGACAAACTACATGTTGATAGAATGTTGTTGTTTTCTCATCTGACACGTCTTCGGACGTTAAATTTGTATCGCTGCTACATTGAAAGTTTACCAGAGGATATTGGTTTATTGAAACATTTAAGATATCTGGACTTGTCTGGCAACACTAATTTGAAGGAATTGCCTGGCACATTGTTTAATCTTTATAATCTTCAGACTCTAAGATTGGGTAATTGCAGTTCACTTCCAAGACTACCAGAGAAGATTGCAAAATTGGTCAACTTAAAAAATCTATATATCTATGGGTGTCGCTTCGAGGGCCTGCCAAAAGGGATAGCAAAATTGACTGGTCTCCTAACTCTAGATATGTGGGTGGTGCCCAAGGAGAGAAAAACATATCTTGATGTCGGAGATCTGAAAATGCTGAAATACCTTCAATTTCAAAGCTTTCTCTGCATTAAAAGGTGCGCAAGCATGGGGAATCTTGATGAGTCTGAGAAGATAAATCTCAGCAGTTGGCAACATCTTCTTGACTTGACACTGCGTTTTAGAGAAACTGGTGAGCTGTATGAAATTGGAGAAATTCTTGATGCTGATACTGAAATTCTGGAATCCTTGCAACCACATCCTAACTTAAAAGCATTAGACATCTCGGACTACCTAGGTGCAACTGTGTCCCCCACTTGGATGATGTCGCTAACTAATTTGACAAGTCTCGAACTAAACTTTTGTACAAAATGTGAGATTTTACCCCCACTAGGAAAACTGCCTTCTCTTGTTTCGTTGGTTATTTGTTGCTTGGATAGCTTGAAGAAGGTGGGTCCAGAATTCCTTGGAATTACAGAAAGAGACGAAGAAGACCACGGTACAGCTAGAAGGGATCAGGATACTCCATCCGAACCATCCATTATTTCTTTTCCGAGATTGAAAAAGCTTACGTTTGATTGGATCGAGGAGTGGAAAGTGTGGGAAGGATACAGGATGACAACAACGACACCGACAAAAATTATGCCATGTCTTCACTCCTTGAAGATTACCAAGTGTCACAACCTAGAAACGCTCCCGGATTTCCTGCAAATGACTCCACTGCAAAATTTATCTGTCAAAAAGTCTAAAATTTTACAACGAAATGTCCAAAAAGGTACCGGAAAGGAATGGTACAAGATTTCTCATGTCCTAAACATCCAAATCAATAAAAAGTACGTGCAGAAAAATGGTGTTTGGATTCAGAAAGACGAAAGTGACGATGGAGAAACATCATCAAGCGAATGAAACTCGTCAGAAGCAGAAAAATGGTGTCATGAAGCTTGGCTCTTGGATCCATGAGGCGGATAATGCTCCAGCATTTTCTGGTAATTTTACTTTATCCTTTCATGCACAAAATTTCTGAACTTATTCGCATATTTTTAGTCTTTGCTTCAAAAGCTTATGTTAACTTGTGGCCCATATGTATTTTCATAATCCCCACTTTTTTTTTTTTCAATACATTACCTTCTCTCACTATGATATTTTCTTTCGACTCTAGCCTCATGAGCATACACATGTCCAATTGGAAGAAGTATTATCCATGTGTGCGGAGACTCAAGCATTGTGATGATCTTTCCAGATGATTTCTTTCTTATGGTAAGTCATGAAAACGAAATTTTACTCACCTCATTTTTGGATTTTCCAAATTTTCTTTGGTTTCAAGATTATATGTTAATGACATATTATAGTTTTCAGATTTGTCAGGGGCATGTTTGTATGTTTCTCTACTAAAATAGCCAAGGGCCAAGAACTTTTGCAGCCACAAAAGGACACTTGATGGAAATTTCCAGACTGTCTCACTAGATCAAGTCATCATGATGCATAACCTGTTCTGGGACCACATTGATGGAAAATGGAGAGTAAGTGCACATCTAGCAAAGTGATTGCTTCTGTTCTTTTTATTTTAAGTGAGAGTGTAAATCTCATTTGAATTTCTCTCTCATTTTGTACACAAAAATTAGATTTTTGAATCACTTGTAGAAGGATAGTATTGATCTTGGAGGAGTAGAAATTTCTGCAAGATTAATGTATTCTGTTTTTCATGATGTTCAATTGTCATGATGTTAACCTTTTAGCATAGCTCGATATATTAATTTTAGATCTACTGGCCTTTCAGAGCCCTTGAATTCAACTACATGGTTATAAGGTTTCTAACTTTTATGCTGATGGATGTGCAACACAAAATTATAAGTTGCTATAGGACATGTAGCGGTCGAGGTATGTTTTGCAAAACCTATCTGTTCTATAATCATATATAAAAAAAAAAAAAAAACAAACAGTTAAATATCATCATACATTTAATAAACCAATGGATTTCGTGCTGCAGATCAAGGTTTTCTTTTATGGAAAAGCTACCGACAAATCCAAAACTAGATGTCAACGTCCAATGCCTTTATAGGTATGCAATTAAACCAAATGGCAAGTTCATTCTAACGTGTGTCCATTTTTCATTCAGTTATGTATATGTGGTTCCGATTTCTCAATCAGGTGGCATGAGATGGCAAGTGAAAATGCTGGTTGCAATTTCAGGTCGAAGAAGAAGGATGAAGACTACTCTATAAGGGTGGTTGTTGGAGCACTTTGGCTCTGGCTTTTGGGTATATGTGCTTCTGTTGACCTTTTCAGGGTATCTTCTGGCACAAATTTGCTATGCAATAAAAACCCAACCATGTCCTGTGTTAACAGAATGCAGGAATACTTTGAACTCTGATTAATCCAAGGCTTCTGTTCCACTCTACGGCGCGGAAATATCTTTCTGGACTGCTTGTTGTATGTCTCTGCATTTTATGACACATATTACTGTGAGATGGCATGATACTGTGATTGGTGATGTGCTAAATCAGTCTGTTCAAGATCAGCATTTTAACTGAAAACAGTTGGGAATGCTTTAACTGAAAACAGGAGGGCAAAACTTGCAATTACAGTATTATATTACAGTTTCAGTTTTGGTACTCATTGTATAAACAGACTAGAGGTTGCAGAGGGATATTATCATTGTAATTTACTGTATTGAGAGCACATTTTGTTCAGTATGACTTTCGTTTGGCCTTGAGAGAAAATCAGTAATCTTTGTCTGAGAATTTGGGGAGGACAAACAAGATCAAACTTGTAATTCTCCATTAGTGATCTTTACAAGCTGTCTCCTGACCCGAGGACGTGGGAGTAAAAAAAATCTCTGAACCTCGTTAAATCTTGGTGTGATTGTTTTATTGATTCTCTGTTTTTAATTGTTAGTGCATTTACTTATTTTCTTCTGTGCGCTTTGTTCTTGGTTCTAAACCTGATTCGAATTATGATTATAATATTTTTTCTCATAAAAAATACACGTAAATTAAAAATAATTTTAATCTCATAATTTTAATTCATAAACTAAACGTACACATTAGAGATTTTTAATTCGTATTTAGATATTGTATGAAAAAAAAAACTTTTACAGTTTTTGAGCCTACTTAAATAAATAAGTTAAAAGTACTAATTATAAAGAATAATGTAACATGAGAATGAGAATATGAATGAAATTTTTATTTTGTTGTTTATAAATAAAAAATTAAATATATAAATGAAAAGGCTTTTTAAAAGAGATGATTTATTTTAAAGAGCTTATAAAAATCATAAATACTTTGAAAATTAATCTAATTGATAAATTCGTGTCATGATTCGTTATAATATTTTTTTTATAAAAAATATACGTAAATTAAAAATAATTTTAAATTATGATTCTGAACTAAATAAATTTAAAAGTAATTTTAGACTAAATGAGTCAAAATCATTTATTTTTTTTTAAAAGGTTAATTTCAAACCTGCCGTAAAATTCAGACCATCATCTTCGTCCATGTAGAAAAAGTCGACCCAACGTTTACTTCTAGCAACTCCGTCAGAATTTGGGGCGGCAACAATCCAAAAGAAGCTTCTAAACACCCCTTCAAAAAAATTGCCAAAAACAAAATGAAACTCAGCATATGAACTCTACAAAAAAAAAAAAAAAAAAAAAAAAAAAAAAGCACCAAATATCTATCAGGAAAAAAAGCACCAAATATCTACAAAAAAATAATTATATTAGTTTTGTTGGTTTTAAAATTAGTGTAATAGCGTTTAGTAAATTTTGAGATTGAATTATTATTGGTATGTAAAATGACCAAAATAGACATGATATGAAATCTAAATATATAATGACGAGCACAGAGGGAGGCCGAGAGAACAAAGAGAGAAATAGGAAGAGAGAGAAACATGGAGAGAGAGAGAGAGAGCAAAGAGGGAGACGAGAGAGAGAGAGAGAGAAGAGAGAACAACAGAGAGAGAGAGAGAGAGAGAGCTTGAGAGAGAAGAGAGAACAGGACCGTGAAGAGAAAAAATTTTGGGTATGAAATTGTTTTCATTCAGAAGGGGTAAAATAAATAATGATGAAAATTTCATTTAAGAGTCTCTTAAGGGTTATTTTTTTGTAACGAAATTAAAAAAAAAAATTAAACTCGAGTTACAACTTTATTTAAGTTCATGTTCTTTTGTAAAATTTGAGTTTGAACTCGAGTTTGGGGCTAAACTTGAGTTCAAGTTTTCCCTTCAACACGAGTTCATAAACTCGAATTTAAGTTAATGAACAATATTTTTTCTATTCTTAAAAATACCATAACTTTTTCATTTTAATTCTGATTGAGATAATTTTTTTGCTACGCATTCACAATGAAAAGATGAATAAAACCAACCCATATACCATATTAAAATTTTTCATCACTATTGAGTTTTTATTAAAATACTATCTAAATACAAATTTAAGTTTTGACCCACCTAAACACAAATTCAAAAAGATTCTCAATTCAAATCATTACTCCAATGTGCACATCCAAACACAAACTCAAGTTACAACTTCAACTCAAGTTATAACTCAAACTCAACTCAAGATCATCACTCAAATCACCCTAACTCAAAAATGTAAAAGAACAACCTCTTAAATTGCCACAAAATCTAGAATCAGAAGTAGCCCAAAGACTGCTTCTGATTTTACCTTCAAATTCTCCGCAAATTCTTTTAGGAGCACTTTTTTACGTTTTTACTAAATATAAAAAATAACTTTAGCTGTATAGACAATTGATTTTGGGCTCCTAAAATTCCTACCAAACGAAGCCAATAGCAGCACTCTTTTCTAAAGATAAAATTTGCTCATTCATGCATTTGTGCGGTTTGGATGATTAGGTGGAAGTATTTACATAATGGAATTATCGTCCTCTCATAATCATAATAATGAAGTAATGTTAGAGATATTAATTTAAATTTAAATTTTTTATGTAGTAATTAATATAATATGTGAATAATTATCTTTTTATTAGTATATGTAATTTATTTTATTAATTAATGTAAAAATATTTTATTGATAAATGACAATTCATATGTCATATTAATTAATATAAAAAATTAAAATTTAAGTTAGTGTATTTAATATTATTCTAATAATAATAATGACGACCATGATAATAGATAATCATCTATACAGTATACGGAAAAGTCAAAAACTGACATTCCTCTGCTATTTCAATCAAAACGGTAAAATTTTTGTTGAAATGGCATCCCTCCTCCTTTTCTTTTAAGTCCTTTTTTTTTATTTTTTATTTTTTTTATTTTTTCTTCAAAACTTATTTATTATTTATTTTAGTTTTTTATCCCTTTTTTGTCTTGAGATTTTATTTTGTTCTTCGTTTTGGTTCTTTTAATTTTAAAATTTATTTATTTCTTCATTTTAACTCCTTTTTTACCTTCTTTTTATTTTTTCCTTAAACTTTATTTGTTTGGTTTTGATTATTTTATCATAAAATTTATTTATTTTAGTTCTTTTTTTACCTCTTTTTCTATTTTTGTTTTGAAATTTCATTTTTTCGTTTTGGTTCCTGTTACCCCAAAATTATTTATTTTTTTTATTTTAGTCTTTTTTTACCCTTTTTTATATTTGTCCCATAATTTTATTTTTTTTCGTTTTGGTTTCTTTTCCTCTAAAACTTATTTATTTCTTCATTTTAATCATTTTATTTTGATTTTTTCCTCTAAAACTTATTTATTTCTTCATTTTAATCACTTTTTACTTTTTTTTATTTATGCCCCGCAACTTTACTTTTTTCTTTTTTGTTCCTTTTGCGCTAAAATTTAGTCCCGTTCATTTCGCTTATTTGAGTTTAGAATTCGAGTTTTGCTACAGTAAAAAGCTCTCATAAACAATCACATCTAACTTTTTTGCTACAATAAAAAACTCTCACATA